CAGGTGGGCCCACCCCACACACGCAGTCCCTGCACAGGTGGGCCCACCCCACACACGCAGTCCCTGCCCAGGTGGGCCCACCCCACACACGCAGTCCCTGCCCAGGTGGGCCCACCCCACACACGCAGTCCCTGCCCAGGTGGGCCCCCCACACACAGCCCCTGCCCAGGTGGGCCCCCCACATACCACACACACACACAGCCCCTGCCCAGGTGGGCCCCCCACACACAGCCCCTGCACAGGTGGACCCCACACACCCAGCCCCTTACACAGGTGGGCCACATACACACAGCCCCCACACTCAGCCCTGCCCAAGTAGGCCCCTGGCCCTCACCGGTCCCCTTCCCCAGGCAGGTCCTGGTGATCCTGTCCCAACTGGAAGGCAACGCCGGCTTCTCCATCACACACCGCCTGGCGCACCGCAAGGCAGCCCAGGCCTTCCTCAACGACTGGACGGCCACCAAGGGCACCCACAGCCCCCCGCTCACGCCCGAGGTTGCCGGCCTGCACGGGCCCCGGCCACTGTGATCCCCTCGGCCTGCGCCCAGACAGGGCTGCACCTGCCCGCCCACCTGCACGCACTTTAGTAGGGAGACCCAGGCCGAGGACGCTGGGACGAATCTCAGGACCCCTGGGGAGCCGTGGGGCCCCTCCCCACCCCCACCTGCCTTCACCCTGGGGCCAGTCAGCCTGGCCAGGGCCTCCTGGCTACAAAGCAGATACCTCGACCCAGCCACCAGCCATGGACCACATATCCCATTGGCCCATGGCCTTGGGGAGACAGGTTCAGAGGCTGGCTGCCCTCCCCTCCGGGGGTGGGGTCTCATCTGGGCGAGACAGCCGACAGCGCAGAGGACTCCCCCGGGATCAGACACCCGGAACCCCGGAGGCAGCAGGGGACAGCCCCTCCCCGCCCCGCCACACCCTGGTGTGAACAGTGGGGCGGGTGTGACCCATCCCAGGAGCCTGGTGATGGGCGGTGACTGTGGGGAGGCCGTCCTGCCTCCCCTCCAGCGACACTATGCAATTCCTGGGCCCCTCAGGACCAAAGCCATGACGGGGCAGCAGTACTGGGGGGTGGCCTGCGTGTGGTCAGGCGCGCCACCGGGGACAGGGTCGCAGCGGGGCCCAGCCCACCCCAGGCAGGCAAGGCAGGACCCCTCCCACCGCCCCATACTTGGGACGCCAGGGAGCTTGGCTACGGGGCTGCCCCCCTCAGGGCCCTCACTGCCCAGCGGCCTCCCCTGGGGCTGTGGGCCTTGGTCCTGGGAACGGCGAGGAGCACCTCTCCCTTTGGGCTTCCTTTTTATTTTCTCCTTTTCTCTGAGCTGTGAATATTTTTAACCCTGTAAATACAGCGGCTCTTCTGACACAGAGGCTATTTTATCAACCGTCAGCCCCGTCCCGAGGGGTTCAGATTCCCCGTGGGCGGGGTCCAGACTCAGGCTCCCATGGACCAAATAAAACCTTTTGTTTTGTAAGGGCGGTCTCTGTCTCTGTTGGCCCTCCAGGGCCAGGGTGGGGCCAGGATCAGCCTCAGGACGGACTCGGGGAAGGGCTGCCCATTCCCAGGTCCCAGCCAGGGCCAGGATGGTGGACAGGATGTGGCAGCCCAGCACCCCCCGCCAGCCCATGTGGGCCCTCGTGTGGCAGTCATACCTGGGAGGAGAGGAGACACCTCCATCCACTGGGCAGGGCCTGGAGCTGGGATCCTGGGCGCAGGTGGAGGGACAGTCCCAGGTGCTAGCTTTTCCCACGGACTGCGTTGATGTTGGAGCCGATTAGGGTATGGGAAGAAGCAGCGGCAGGGGGGGAGTTCCCACCCCCTTGTGGGCCCCAGGCCCATCCTGCAGCCCCTCACCCACCCCCATGTCGTATGTGCCCCCAAACCGGGGCCCTGCAATCTGGGTCCAAGCACGGCCCAGTCGGTGTAAGAAGCCTGTCATGGGGCAGCGATCGAATGTGAAAGCAATTAAAGACACCAGCAGTGTTCGCTCCGGGCGGGCCTCGGGCGGCGGGGGAGCTGCCACAGCACATCTCCCGGCCACACAGCCACCCGCTGCCTGCCGCCACCATGCGGCCCTGCGCCCACCCTCCGTCCTCTGGCCCGGCCCCCGCAGCCCTGGGACAGGCCCTGGAGTGAGGCGTCAGGGCGAGAAGGGGTCTCAGAGTCGGGGTGGTGCTCGCTGCCCCCGGAGACCCGAATTCGCAGAGGGCGGTGGGGGAGGCTGTGGGGCCCCCCAGTGACCAGGCTGGCAGGCAGGGTGGCCCAGACTGAGCTGGGGGATCACAGCCCCCGACTCCCCCCAGCAGTGGACACCGGCAGCTCGGGTGTGAGGGCCCCTCCCTCCCTCTGCCTCTCGTCCCCCCAGCATCCTCCCTCCACTCGCTGTGCCCTGTGCCCTGTCTTGAGCCCCGTCCTCGCCTCCCTCCGTCTCCACCCGCTGCCCTCACTGCCTGCTTTGCCTGCGCGGTGGCGGCACCCGTTGGCTCTGGCTGCGCGGCCTTCCTAGGCGATGGCCGCGTTCTCACTTGTGAAGTGGCCCTGTCAGAAGCACTTAGCGTACAAATTAGCCGCGGCCGCACAGCCTGCCCCCCACACAGCTCTGGGCGCTGGGCGGCCCTCCTGCCCCGCGTGGGCCCCTGGTACCCGCCCACGGCCTCCTCGCGGGGTCCCTGGCCAGGATGGCCACCACGGGAGTGGGAGGGGCATTGAGCGAGACACTGGGGTCGGAAGTCTGAGCCCCGCACCGGACCGTCCCTGGGAGCAGAGGGTCCCGCGGTGGTTGGGGCACCGAGGGGCATTGGGGTCTGGGCCGGGAGGAGGGCTCCATGCCCTACGCCCCCGCCCACCGCTGCCTGCCACTCAGGCAGGGAAAATCGTCTGTGACAGGCCAGGAAGGCGGCCCTGGGGCCGCAGGATGCAGTGCGGCTCCTCTTTCCAAGCATATGGTGGCTGTCAGCCTCGGGTGGGGTGGGGGACGAGGAGAAGCGGCTCAAACGTGGTGGGGCCTGGCGGCCAGGGCCTTTCACCCCACCCGCCCGGCTCCCCAGCACCCTGGTGACTCAAGAGGCCCCTGCCCCTGCTCAGCTTCTCCCACCAGCTGTTAGGTCAGCCCCACCCACCTCGAGTGGTGACAACCCACGGGGGTGGGGGGACTAGGAGGTGGGGAGGAGGCTGCGCTGCAGTTGGTGGGGGGCGTGGACCCTCAGGGTAGGGCTGCCTCTCTGACGAGGACGAGGCCTGGGCAGGGACCTTATAGTCCTGGGATTCTTCCCAGTAGGACCAGCGGGGCAGAGGAGGGCAGGCTTCCTGGAGGTGGTGCAGGGACCTGCCACTTGGGTGTTCTGGGAATGGAGGGTGAGGGCTGGCACCAGGGATGGGGTGGAGAGGCACCTACAGCCCCAGAGGTAGGATCTGGGCACTCCTCATGCTATCGGGACCCTCCCTCTCTATCAGCCCTCGGCCCCCAGCCCTCCTGACGACAGGTCCTTGGTACCAGCAGCCAGGCTGGGTCTGGGGCTCCCTCAGTGCTGGCGCTCCTGAGGGTCCCTGGGGCCTCCCTGGGCGGGCGAGGGGGAACAGCATCCAGGAGGCCCTGTGTTCTGGGGCCAGGAGGTCTCTGTGCACTCGGAGGGGGAAAAGCCGTCCGTGGATGTGGGGATGTGAGCCGGGTGATGTCACTGTGCACACAGCTGACCCCAGCTTTGCTGTGCCCAGCCAGGCCTGGCCCCCGAAGCTGCGGCCAGCCCAGCCCTTGCACTCTCCTGGCGCCAGCCATGTTCGGACACTGAGGGGATGAGACAGGCCCTGCCTCTAGGCATCAAAGACCCTGGCCAGCCACTGAGCCCCCCGCCCCCCCCCCACCACCACTTCCCTGGGCCCTGCTTCTCATCTTGCTCCCCAACCCGCACTCACAGTCCCAGTGTTAATGAAGGTGATGGGCGGCTGTGGTCAGAGAAGGTTAATGATAGAGAGGTCCCATGGCCGGGGGCAGAGGCTGGGGCTGTGGGGTCCCAACCCCCAGGTGCCAGCTGTGGGGAGAGACCAAGGATCCCCACCAGAGCGGAAGAACCCAGAGATCCCAATTCCTACTATCACCCTGCTGAAAGGCTGCAACCAAGGCTAGGCAGGGGTCCCCGGGTTTAGGGCCAGCACAGGACCAAGTCTCAAAGCCATGGGGGTCCCAGTCACCACTTAGGGGCCAAGCACACCCCAACATGCAGGGGTAGGGCCCACAGGGGTCACGACCCACCCTCGGTAGCCAGCTGTGGGCAGCTGCATGCCCCGAGGCCCCATCCTGGCAGGAAAGTGGGACGGGGCCCTGGGCACGGTGTGTGCCAGCTGTGAGAGCAGATGTTCTGGCATGCCATGGGGGCTGGCGCTGGTGACCTGGCCCAGACCGGCTGGCCTGGCTCAAACCCCAGACACCCGCCACCGTGGCCAAACTCTTGGGGACCCCAGGAACAAGCTCAGGGCCCACTCACCCACCCATCACTGCCCCCCCCCCCCGGAAACCCAGCAATAAGTCCACTACCCATGCCTCTTAGGCTTCGGGACATAGGGTGCCCTGGCTTCTCTCTCAGGCTCTGTGGTCGCCCGGACCAGCCTTGTGTCACACCATCCGTGCCTCCATCCAGCCTGCCAGCCTGTCTCCTGTGCCAGCCAGGCCTGTCCTAGAGCCTCAGAGGGGTCAGCCTCAGGCCTGCAGGGTGACCTGAGCCACCCCTGCCCTCTCTGGGCAGTGCCTGGGACGCGGGGCCCAGGCTTGGCTGTGCACAGAGACGTCTGAGGGCAGAAGGAGCTGGCTGCCTGGCCCCCATGCTTTGCAGGGCTGCTGGCAAGAAGGCCACTCCAGCTGTCCCCTGGTCTGGGGCCGCCTGCATGGTCATTTGGGCCAGGCTATGTGACAGCGAGGAGAAGGCTGAACATTGGGCAGCTCGTGGCACTCTCCCCAGCCCCAGCCCACAGACTTCTCCCCGATGGGGAGGGGTGGCCACCCAGCAGGGTCAGGAAGGGCACTCGGCCTTCATGCCAGTGTCACCAAGCTGGGCTGCCCGCTAGACCCCAGCGCCCTGCTCCTTTCAGACTCCCAGGCATGGTGGCCAGTGCCCCAGGAGGACCCTCCCCACAGCCAACGTGGTCTGCAGTCGGTCTGGGAGCCACTGCAGCCCTGGCTTAAAATCGTTAGAGGGGAGGGCATCACCCCACTACCCCAATGAACAGACAGAAAAACCGAGGCCAGGTCCACAGGGCCAAGAAAGTACTGGACGCCCATTTAGTGCCCCATTCCAAGGACAACACCCAAAAGCCCCACAGCGGCCAGCCCTCCTCCCCAAGGCACCCCTGCCCCCAAACTGAGCTGGGGTCACCCCAGGAAGCCTGCAGCTAAGTGGGCGCTGGCAGAGCTCTCCAGGCCACGCTCGCCCTGGACGGTGCCTCTGCCTGCATTCCACCATCACACACCTTCTCTGCATACACCTTCTTCCCTGGAACAGATGCTGACTCCCTGGGTGCCTCGGAGGCCAGCCCTGCCTCCGTCGCCGCCCCAGAATAGAACTGGCTGGCCAGGGTATTTCAGCTAGGACCCAAACAGGGGGCAGGACCCCAGGCAGGTCAGCAGTACTCCAGCACCCAGGGACCCTGGGTTAGGGTTAGGTGGGTCTGGAGCAGCTCTGGCCACAAGAATACAGTGTGTGCAGGGACGTCCAGGCCCCTCCTGGCCCTCCCCTCACCCGTCAAGGTCCTCCCAGAAGGGATGTGGGGGGCGGGGTTCTGCAGGTCACAGCACCTCCCAAGGGAGCCGGGACCAAGGATCGGGGTGATGCTTCCAGAAGGGGTGAGCGCGTGGTGACCGCCTGAGCTGGTGGCCATCATGGGGCTGGGGTGCCGGGCGGGGCAATCCCTTCAGCCCCCGTCTCCAGAAGAGCAAAAGCAGGGAGGGCAGGCTCGATGGATGGGAGAGCGGCAGGAAGGAGCCTGCTGCACCTCCTGGGCGTCTCAGTCGGGAGCTGGATTCTGCTGGCCGGTCTCCTTCTGGGCCGGCTTTGGCCCCTGCGGCCCCTCCCCTGTCCCCGGGCTCAGCCTCCAGGCCCTGGTCCCCGGTGGGCGGCTGTCAGGGGCCGGGTGACCTGACGGATACCTGCTGACGGCCCCTCTCCCCCGTGCCCGCCGCTGACACTCGTCACCGCGCGGGGACCCGGGAGACCCGCGCCTCTGCGCACCCCCGCGGCAGCCTGCAGGCTACGGGAGCGGGGGCGGCGCGGGCGCCCTTCTCGGCCACACACCTGCCGCTCCGGACTCCGCACTGCTCGGCCAGAAGCCTGTCCAGGGAGGGCTACGCCGCCAGTCCGCGCGCGCGCGGGCGGTGAGTGCGCATGAGGGGCGCGAGAGGCGAAGGGGCGGCGGGCGGGCGAGGCGTGGGGAGAGTGGGGTGTCCGCTCCCGCCCCTCCCGTCGGAGGTCGTCTCCTCCCCAGAGCCGGCGCCCAGGCGCACGCGCGGCCGCTCCTGCCGCTAACTTCGGTGGGCGCTAGCCGGGGTCGGGGTACCAGCCGGTGGTGGAGGCTTCAGGGGTCGCAGCAGCGTGAGTGACCGAAGGGCCACGGGGTTCCGCCCCCATCGCCGGGCCTCAGTTTCCCCTGCGGGGTCCGTTTCCGCCCGACAGCCCGAGCCGTGCGGGTCCTGGCGGTCGGGGTCGCGGCGGGCGGCGGAGA